GAGATGGAGCCTCCAGCAAATCCCACGGCTTCTTGGTGGGCCCCAGGTTAGCCTCCGCCAGGAGTGGCTGTAGCAGGAGTGTTCCCAGCAGCGCCGCATGGAGAAGCTGGGGGGCACTGGCAGAGGCTTCAGCTCTATGATGCCAGGAAGAGCCTGGAGCTACCTCTGTCCCCAACATAGAGCCAGGACAGGTGGCCAAGAAGTGTCCCTGGAGCTCTGCCAGGTACAGGCCATGCAGAGTGCGGGAGTCACTGGGCAGCCCAGCCACGGGGTGGCTGGAGAGCCCAAGGTGGTGGGCAGGATCCCAGGGAAGGGCTGGAGTGTTGGCTGGGTTTCTGGAAGGTTCCAGGTAACAGTGCCAGCTTCCTGACTGCACAGTGTGGGTATGAGGATCCCCGTTTCACAGCTGAGAGAACTGAGGAAGAAAGTCAAGGTTACGGCCAAGGTGGCCCAGCCGAGCGGCATTCGGCCCCGATCTGATGAGTCCCCAGCCCTCGGTGTCTGGGCGTCTGGGCAAGGCAGTGGGCCAGGGGCGCCAATTTATGCCTAAGTTGGGTTTCTGGAAAGTGGCCCTGGGGAGGTCACGCTCTGTGCCACGGGGGCTGGCGTCACAGGCTGGAGGGCTGGGCCAGCGCAGGCCCCGAGGCCGTGGGCACAGCCTCGCCCTCGGGCTGGGCCTCCTGGCCACGCGCGTAGGTGAGAACGACGGTGACGGTGGCGAAGGTGGCGGCGTTGACGGGGAAGGCGCGCAGCAGCGTGGAGGCCAGCCCGCGCGTGAAGACGCGCCAACCCTCGGCGCGGTAGCTCTGGAGCACGCAGTCGAGGATCCCGCCGTAGCGCGGGGCGCCCCGCAGCCCGTCGGCCTGCAGCCGTGACTTGACCACGTCCACGGGGTAGGTGGAGAGCCAGGACATGATGCCCGACGTACCTCCCGCCAGCAACAGCTTGGGCACCAGCAGCGGGTCCCCTGGCTCGCAGCCCAGGGCACGTGTCACCACGTCGTAGGTGAGGAAGTAGACGCCGAAGCTGGGCGTCTCGCGCAGCAGCGTGGACACCATGCCCCGGTTGACGCCGCGCAGGCCCTCCTGCCGGTAGATCTGCGCCAGGCAGTCCAGGGAGCCCCGGTAGGTGCGGGCCGCGCCCACGTCCTGCAGCTGCAGCCGCGTCTTGGCCAGCTCCATGGGGCAGCAGATGACGCACTGGATGGCGCCCGCCGCTGCGCCCGCCAGGAACTGGTTCATGGGCGAGTCCTGGCCCAGGGCCCGAAGGGTGTTGCCCTGCACGCCGAACACCAGGGCGTTGATGAAGGTGAGCCCCATGAGCGGTGAGCCCAGGCCCTTGTACAGGCCCAGCACCTGCGGGGCAGAGAGGCGTCAGGCGCCCACCTCCTGTCTGTGGGCCTTGGCAGCCCAGCCCATCTCCCCAGGGAATCTGCACCGCAGGTGCGGCGGCCCCGGCCCCCCAGGTGCACGTGAGGGTCCAGCAGAACTTTATTAGAACCAGAGTCTTCAATCTGAGAGGCCTGGGCATTCACACCTTCCCATTTCCAAAGTCCTGATGCCCTCAACGGCCCCGACCCTTCTTTCCCGGCCTGTGGTCCCTGCCGCAGCATCCTGGGGGCTGGTTCCCCACCCCGCCCCGCCTGCCCAGGGCCCAGCCACTCACGCTCTCCTGCCTGATGATGGACTGGAAGCAGTGGATGGTCCCTCGGTACTGGGGCTTCTCCAGACTCTGGACCTGAAGCCGCACCTGGAAGGAGAGGGCCCAGGGAAAGGTGGGCAGCCAGCTCCATGGCCAAGGAGGCCCACGGGGCAGGGGGCCAAGCTGCCAACTTTCTGCGGCTTTTGGAATTGCGAGGCGGGGTGAGGCCAGGTATCTGTGCCTCTGGGGAGGGGTGTGAGTGAGCAGCCAGCCCGCGGCACTGGACAACACCCAGAGAGGAGGGGCCCCCAGGCCCTCAGACAAGTAGAGGCTAAGTGTGCAGATACAGATGTGAACAAAACTGGCTCCATCTGTGATCTCTGACCAGCCGCGCTGTCCTTAGTGAGATTATTGAAGCTTCTGGTCGATGGTAATCTGTGTTCCTTAAATGTAGCCATAGTTTTGTTAGTAACAGCCTTGATGGCAGGACGCCTGAGATAAATGCCAAACTGGTGAGTGTCAATGAGAAGCAATCATGTGTCACAAGACCCCCAGGAGGCATGGCCCCTGGCACTGCTGCATTCCTGTCCCTGTCCTGTCAGTCGTCAGTAGCTGGGTCATTCTGTGAAATCAGTGCTGTAACGGGTCTGGCAGCAGAGGGTAATGTGTGTGGAACTGCTGGTGGTTGGTGCTGCTCCCACTGAACCTTCTCATAAGTTGATCACCCTACGATAAAGCCTGTTGTTTTATGGGGTCACCTGTTTGTCTTTGGGTCTGACGATACCTCCTGGTTATGGTGGCCGTTACACCTGTGCCCCACCGTCAACACCGAGCCCGTTTCACTGTTCCTGAGGTGCACCGACTTGGGAATGAGCACCTCCTGGGACCTCCCACTGTCCTGGTGGCAAACCACAGCCGATGCCAACGGGGCTCCTGACCTAACATCCTGTCACTCAATCCCCTCGTCGGGCTGGCGCAGCAGTGGGTGCCTGAGGCTCTGTTCTGCCAGGAACCAGCCCCTGGTGAGGGCAGTGGTCACAGGAAAGCAGTGACAGCCTCCTTGGGGATGACATCAGCAGCTGTGGAGCCCGCGGTCCTGAAGGTCTCACCGTGAAAGTCGCCTTTGTGCCTGAGAGCTTATCTCTGCATTGGGTACACAGGCCCCACAGTGCCGAGAGGGAGGAACCTCTCCTGAGCTCGGAATCTGTGTCACAGGTAGGGGTGGGGCTGGGTGAAGTCACATGCCCCCCCCATTCCAATTCAGAAATCGTCACTGCGACCAGGGCCACGGCTTGAGCGCCCTCCTGTGGTAATCGCTGGCCCGGGTGGGTTCGGCTGCTGCCATTTCAAAGATGGGGAGACTGAGGCTCAGGTGTTACATTTTCCCTTAAATGTCCTGGGGTCTCTGGAGGGACATCTCTCTTCCCTCTGTAGCTCCCAGACTGGCACAGAGAGGGCTGTTAACAGAGATGAGGTGGAGTGGGACTGTCCTCCGTGGGTGGCATTTTCGGACACTCTGGTGGTATCTTTTAAGTCTCTGCAGACTGGAGTTTCATGCCCAGGATCAGGCCAGCTCGGGTCCCACAGAAACCATGAGGCCTGTCTCCCTTTGTTTCTGACTCTGGGTCTGGGGTGAGCCCTTGCTGTCTGGGAAGCCAGGTTTGGGGGTGAAATGTGGCCCTGGGACCCACATCCTATAGCATCTAGAATTGAGTTTTAACGTTTTGGGTGACAGGACCTCATTTAAGGACTGACAACCCCACCCCTGGTAAAGTGGTCTGTTGCACACAAGCCCAGGAGTCTCCCACTGCCCCCAAGGGCTGGGAGACCCCAGCATGAACCCCTGATCCAGAGGGGGATGGTTTTTCTCAACCAGCCCCACCCAGGACCTGTGCTGGGCCCAAGTACACCCCCCACCCTTCCTGTCCCCGCTAGGCCCAGAGGGGACTCAGGGGGATAGGCCCAGGGTCCGGTTCAGAGAGGACAGGGACACGTGGGGTTCACCTGGTCTCTGGGGTGAGGCTTACGCTCCCCGGTAACAAAGTTACACTTTCGCTGTGGATGGGGACAGCTTCAGCTCAGGAAGTAAAGGCGGTTAAAGCAACACATTTCAACATAGCATGTGAGGGAGCCGCCAGGCCAGCCCCCGGGCAGCACTCCCTGGTGAAAGTGGGCTTGGACCTGGTGTCCCCTGAAGTGGGACATAAAACTACCTTCGTGTGAGGGCAGCATGGCTGAGGACAGTGGCTGTGGTCCTGGGCTCCACAGAGGGAAGCCAAATTTTGGTTTCCAATTTCAGTGCCCAGGGCCTGCAAACGTCCCTGCCGTGAGACACTGTGACTGGTTCGGGACACAGGTGTCCGTCCCCTCACCCATTCCGGAGCACAGGTCCAATCGCATGCGGTTCAAGAAAAGGCACCCAAAAATGGACCCTGGCCTTAGAGTTAGGATGGTGGAGGCCTGGGGAGCAGCGGGGGCTCCGGGGGGCAGGGCGAGTTCCTTTCCTCCCAGGATTCCTAGATTTGCACACTTAGCCCATGTGCACTTTCCCACGCGCTCGATTTCAATGTCAACTGCAGAGCTCTGAACCAAACCCCACTTTTGCAAAAGCAAGAATGTGTACAGTCCTATGTATACTTCTGTCAGTAGGAATCTTCTGGGGAGGGGAGGGTCTATGAAGGACTGTGGTTTTCCCCGTTAGTTTATATGTCTCCATTATGGTTAAAATGTTTTACAACTTGCATTAGTTTTGTAACAGAAAGGCAACATGATGATTAAACACAGAAACACCACCTGCCTTGGGGACAGGCTGCCGAGGGGGTGCTGAAGGTCAAGTGCTGATATGAGGACAGGTTAGTCTGCTGGAAGGAGGTCATTTGCTTTTCTACATTTCCCAGTTTTCTTGTAAGAAGAGCATTTAACTTTTATAATGGAAAACAGCCAGGGAAAAAAACAACAACATTATAACATTAAATTAAACCAAATGAGAGTGCTCCGCAACCGGCACAGTGTAACTATGAGCCCCGGGGTGGGACAGATGTGGTGATGGGAGTTGAGTGACAGCAGTGATTACTGGGGCAGGTTTTCTCCCCTTTATTGTAAAAAAACTCAGGTTTTTAAGACAGGTTTGCCCAGATGTGATGCTAGTGGGCCATAATGGAAAAAAAAAAAATAGTCACAAATAGATTTCTTCCCTCTAGGTGCCAGGGGCAGGCGGTTACAAATGACATTAACCCAGGGGGTGCAGAAGCTCTTGTACCCCAACTGCTGCAGGGGGTGCTTGTCCCGGCTCAGGAGCTCAGAGTGGGCAGGGGCACGAGGAACAGTGCTCCTGGCCTTGGGGGAGCTGATGAGGGGCCCGTAGGAGCCCACAGAAGGCCTGGCCAGGACCAGGCTGAGTCACAGCTCAGAGCAGCCTCAGCAAAGCTGGGCTGAAGACATGAATCAGCCTCCTCTTGGCTGGACGCACCTTCAAGAGGCTTTTACAACACGTGACCACAGATATAAACACAGTATAATGTGGACAGTGCCAGGCTGTTCTGGGCTGCTCGGCCATGGGCAGGTGTCACGGGGTGGCCAGCTGGGCAGGGCACTGGCAGCTGTGTGGACAGGCTCCAGCAGGGTCTCGATCTCCAAGGCCCTCAGGGAGCTCAGGGGCTGCTGCACCGTCAGAAAGCCTGGCCCTGCAGCCCCCCCCAGATCCACTTGCAGCGGGAGGGAAGGAGACCTGTGCTCTTCAGAACTGGCCTCTCATCCCTCGGAGACTATACCATGAGCGTGAGCACCGTCACCATGAAGGCCTCGGGAATCCTGCCCAGCCCCTCTCTGTGAGAATGACAACATCTGGGCCCAGGAGCAGACAGGCTGTGGCACTTGGCAGATCAGCTGGCGGGGTGGCCTGGACCTGCACCAGGCGCAGGGACAGACCCTTTCTAGATTGAAGCCAGTGCACAAAGCAAGGCCGCAACACCTCTGCTGGAGGAAACCCAGCCCCAAGCTTGCAAGGCCTCTCCTTGGCCAAGGAGCCCCTGGGTTCCAGGAGAGAGGAGACTGGAAGCCCACCTCCACCCCAGCCAGGGATGATGTCCTTGCCCGCGCCCAGTGGGCAGTGTTTGCAGTGGACAAGGTCTGCCCTCATGCCCTGCCGCCAGCTATAGCCACCCTGGCTCCTGGGTGAACAGCAAGGTAGGGCCCCAACTTGGCTAGTTCAAGGGCATAAAACCCCAACAACAGGTTAAATCTGAGCTGGAACTTCCTTGGATTCTGTTCTAAGGCGTCTGAGAACCTGGAACTCAAGTTTCTCAAGGCACAGGCTTGGGAAGGAGGACCTGCCCCGCCGATACCTCGCAGGTGCACACCTGCCCCCGGGAAACGGTGATGTGGTGTCTTGACAGTGATCACCGCTCTGTCAAGGTCATGTTCATGGGGAATCCACGCTTTGGTTTTTCTCTGTATCTTTATTTTCTCTCTCTGAGCTTTTCTTTCTTTTAAGCAGCTGTCTGGAGGAGTTTTGCAAGAGCAGTGTGGGGGTCCCTGCTCTGAGCGAGGGGAAACTGGCCTCCTGGTCTCAGCTGGCCAAGCCCCAGGATGGACTCGACATGCAGCCCCACATGGGAGGTGTGGGGACAGACCCAGGAGCAAAGACCTACTCAGCTCAGTGGATAAGCGGCTGCCCATCTGGTGTCACAGGGAACCTGACTCTAGAACCCGGGAGAAGACCTTGGAGGGGTTCCTAAGGTGGACACTGGAACGGAGCCTCAGCCACTCAGACCCTGCAGGCTTCTGTTCTGATTGGGCCCCCAAAGGGACTGAGACTAAAACCATGACAGGTGACTCACCTTGACAGTGTCAAATGGGTGTCCCACCAGCACGCCTGCCACACCTGGAGGAAGAAAGGAGAACTTGTGACCCAGATGCCTCTGAAACCCGCAGCGTGGGGTGGATCCTGGGAACGGCGCAGGGGTGGCTGGACTGCACAGGAGAGTTACCTGCTGTGCACCTGGTTCCTCCAGTGAGCCCCTTAATCCTCATGGCTGGGGTGGGGAGCATGTGAAGGTGACAGCCCCAAGGTCAGGCCAGGATCTGTCCCATTCAAAGCTGGTGTCTCTCCCTCACTCTGCTGCTCACGGCAGCTGACAACAGAAGTTGTCCCCTGGGGGACTGCATGTGGCATTTCTAAGATGGTCCCATCACTCCCAACACCTCCCGGCATTGGGAGGGCTCCAGAAATTAGACTTGGGGCCAGACCCTCACCTAGAATTGAATTTTCCCTCTGTGACTTACCAGCTGGCCAAGATCACAGAGGACTCAGTGTCTGAGCCTCATCTCACCTGTCCAGGTGTGAGTATCGACTTCCCCCAGGGGATCCCCAGGGAATGCCCACCCAGGACCGGATGCATGGCAGGTGCTGGCTGACCACTCCCTTCCCGAGTGGGAGCCACCCGATGCGCAGGGGGCAGCTGTAACTGCAGCCATGCTTGGTGATGTGCCGGTCCAGGCCCGGCCAAAGGTCAGCCCCCTCAAGGCCAAAGGCTCACAAACACTTCTCAGAGTCCTGCGTGCTGTGCAAATCGCAGACATCCCAGGACTTGGGCAGCCTTGTCACCCCACCTGAGGAAAAACTGAGGCTCAGGGTGAGTAACTATCATGCTTTCCTCCTTAGAATTAAAAAAAAAAAAAAAAGTTTTTATTGATTTGAGAGAGAGGAAGGGAGAGGGAAAGAGAAACATTGATGTGAGAGAGCAACATTGATCGGTTGTCTCCCGTATGCACCCTGACGGGACTGAACCCGAAACCCGGGGAATGTGCCCTGACCCAGAATTGAACCGGCGACCCTTTGGTGCACAGGACAACGCTCAACCAACTGAGCCACACGGGCCGGGGCTCCTCCCTAGACTGTGTGTGTACATCCTGGAGTCCTTCTGCTGCCACGAGTGTTTACGTATAATTAAAACAGCTAACATGCAGCGTTTCTGCCTGCTGGTTACTGTTCTTAGTTTTGTACCTATCCTACCTCTTCCTTTTAATACTTGTACAGAACAGACTATGAGCCCATTTGATAGATGAGGAAACTGAAGCACAGAGAAGTAACATGTCTGTGCCACACAGCTAGAAATGCTGCAGCTGGGATTCGAACCCCGTAACACCTGGGGACATGCCCCCTGAAACCCAGCTGTCCTGCAAAAGCCATCTCTTTAAGGCCGCCAGGGAACAGTTCTGTGTCTGATGAGGTTCTGGGGCCAGGCGCGAAGGGTGGCGCTGTCCCCGGAGTCCTCTGGCTTCCAGGGCTGCAGATGAGAAATCTGCTCCCAGAGTGTCTTTCTTCTCTTGTGTCAGTAATAGATTTATTCGGACCGGAAGCCTCTGAGATTTTATCTGTGGGTTTCAGGAATGCCACGGGAGATGCCAAGGGTGCGTCTTCCTTCTTCAAAACAACTCTGCCTGGCACTGCACCAGCCCTGCCCTTCTGCAGACTCTCCTTTTTCTGATCAGAGAAAATTTCCACTATTATTTATTCAGCACGACCGTCATCTCCAGGCTCCTTTCTCCTCGTGGAGCCCCTGAAACTCACAGGTGGATGAGGGACCTGCTTTTCTGCCACACCATTTCTGGTCCTGAGACACACTTTGTTTCCATAGTTTGAGATCTACCTCTTTTTTTTCATTTCATGTTTTGAATTTGAAAATCCTAGTTCTAGGACCTGTCTTCGTGGGCTGTAACGGGATTTTGGGGAGTTTTGGAAACCTGACACTTGCTCACCATGTGCTGATTGGCCTCCCTTCTCCCTCTGGCTGGGGCCCCGCCAGCTCACCAAGCCCCTTGCAGCCAGGCCCAGCTGGGGGGTCCCAGGGACGCAGGAGCTGGAAGCATTGCAGGTTCCCTTCCTGTGGTGGAGCCAGGTCCTGCCCCTGGCTCCAGACTAGTCTCAGCCTCTGGGATGGGAGGGGCAGCCCCTCACCTACGGGCCTCTGCTGAGAGGTCCAGACAATTACTCCAAGGGCAGACATTTGCCTTCCCACTCTCTTCCTTGACTGGGTTCAGTGCCCTCAGGAAACGCGCTGGGTCTCCCTCACCCAGAGCATCCGCAGGGGTCCCCAGTCCCCCAAAGCCGCATCCTTTTAACCTCACAGTCACCTGAGAGTCAGGAGGCCCCCCAGGCCGTCTCCCTGGGAGGACCCTGAGCCTATAGCTGCAGCAGCAGAAGCGGACCCTGTCTCCCAACTCCAAAGTCAGCACCCACTGCCCTACATAAGCTGGACACTTCCCATCCCATGACCGTCCAGGAAAGGAGGGGGGAACCACCATCCTGATATTGGGGACAGAAATATTAATCATGCCCATGATTGTTAACTAGTTTTAAGAAATATTAATCATGTTCTGTCAAATGTGATTGTTCTGTCCTAATTAGAAAAAAAGCACTTTCTAACCTGGCTGGGAGCTGTACACCCAGGGACGTGGGAGTTGACCTTGGAATGCGACCCATTTTCCTAACTGCCTATCATCATGGAAAGCTAAACAACCTTGTTGCAGAAACAAAAGAGTCCCAGAGGTGCCCCCCCCATTTGCAAACACCCANTATAACTATAGTTAACAGTTATGGTCAACAGAACATGACTAATATTTCTGCCCCCAACAAGACCATAAGCCCCATTTCACACTTGGGAGACTGAGGCCCCAAGAGGGACAGGGGCACTCATTTATTTACATACATATTTACCCACTCCATTGATTGAGGAGTCAGACCCATCTTTGGCTGGACTCAATCTTCCCAAGTTCAAATCCTGCCTGCATTGCCTAGTAGTGTGGGAGGCAGAAATATTAGTAATGCTCTGTTGCCTGTGATTGTTAACTAAAGTTATAAGAAATATTAATCATGTTCTAGTGACTGTGAAAAAGCACCTTCTAACCTGGCTAGAAGTTGTACATTCTGGGACATGGGAGTTGACCTTGGAATGCGGTCCAGTGGTCCATTCTCCTTAACTGCCTATCACAGGGAAAGATGAACAACCTTGTTGCAGAACCAAAGGGGTCCCGGAGGCTCCCCACTGATTTGCAAGCCCCCAGCCCACATCCCCTCCACCCGGAGGCGCCCCACCCTTTTGCAAACCCCAGCCCACATTTGCATTTCCTGTGACCTGTAAAGCATTATACCCATTCTTATTCCTCTTGCCCACTTTCCCATGTAACCTTTGTCCTTCTACCCAATATAAGGAACTTGCTTATTGGGGGTGGGTTAGAGAAGATTTTATGTGGACGAATCCCTCTGCTCTCCCATTTTGCCAGCAATAATGCAATAAAACACTCATATGTGATTCAACTTTGTCTCTGCTTAATTCGCTGAAGGAGCGACAGGCAGCCCGGACCATTGTGTCTGGTTTCAAAGGCACCTGGCAGCAGAGGCTGTGGGAGGGGTACATGTCCTCCCCCTGTGGGGTCCCCCTGCCCACACTGAACTTTTCTCTGCACCTCCTCCTATCCATGCCCCCAGCAGGGAGACCCCCATCCAGAGCCCAAGGTCTAGGCAGGCAGAAGACCTGGGACTGGCTCCTGGGTTGGGGAGAGCAGGCAGGCATTCTGAAGCCGTTGTCAATCAGGGTCCTGCCCCGCCTCTCTAAGGGCAAGCAGTCCAGGACACCCACCTTCAGACAAGCAACCTGATGTGCTGTCTGTCCTTCCCCAACTTGGAAACCTGAATCTAGAGGGACCCCAGGCCACTGAAAAGCCTCATCTGCCCTGAGCCTCCAGGCCTTGAGGACCCCAAACCCGAAGGAATCAGACAGGGACCTCCGGGGGCGGTACCATCTGCGAATGGTTCCTGGACAGCCTCCCTGCAAGAGTCAGGCCAAGCCAGGCGTCTAGGGGAGCCCTGGGACAAAATCAGGTTAAAGGGGAGAGGACAGCCCCTGCTCGCTTTTTCCTAAGAGCATGTGGTGTGACTCTATACTTGTCCCTCCACTTCTCAGGGCCTAGGTAAAAACCTGGGTCAAATAAGACCAGGAGAGGGTCCCACGGAAGTAGGGACTACTGAGCCTTTGCCTGCTTCCCGGCAACCAAGGCTATCTTCAGCCACCTCAGGCCTCAGCTCACACAGCAAGAAAGTGGGTGGACACCCCCCACCCTGTACTCGCATGTGGACCCTGGTGGAACAGTGGGGCAGCTGGTGAAGCGCCTACAGCTTGGCAGGGCGTTGGACGCTGGGCTTGGATAGGATCGCTCCCGGGTGGGCCAGGTGAGGGTGGGTGGAAAGGCATTCCAGGAAGGGGCCCTGCCTGAGCAGGAGCCCAGGGTGACTGAACCTGTGTCCCCTGGGGGACAGGTCTCCAAGCAGGCCTGGCCTTAGGACAAGTATTCCTACCCCAAACCCCAAGACCCAGGACACTTGCAGTAGAACAGTAGGAATCCTGCCCTCTGGGGAGAGAACCCACATTCCCCAATCAGTTGGAAAGGGGCACTGGCCCAGGAACAGCCCCCACCCTCTGGAGCCACCCTAGGGTGTCTATGTGGGAGGGGGCAGTGGAGGGGTGGCAGACACCAAGTGGAAGGGAAAGATAAGCAGAGAGTGGGATCTAGAGAAGGGTGGAGGGAGCTGAAAGCTGGATGGCCAGAGGCCCCTCCCTTCTGTCTCCTCTGGTGCCTGGGCTTGGGAGAAATTCTCCACTGATTTGTCGAAAACTCTGGGGTTTCTACCCCCTTTTGAGGCTCCAGTCTTTGGTTTCCTGAGGCCCGATTGGGTTAACAGTCTGGTAAATTCTTAAATCCCTTCCCACACATCACACTCCCTGGCACACTCCCTTCACCAGCCTTCCCTCGCCCAGAGCTTAAGGCCAATGACAGTCGTCACTCCTCTGCCTCCAGGGCGCCCACCGCTGGCAGG